AGTGCGCACATGCGGGCGTCTTCAAAACATACGCTTGGATTTCCTCCCGGTTTTATTGACGAGGCATGTAGACCTTTGTGCGCAAATACATTCAGTCATGCTCACAGTGCCAACGACGCAAAGCTCTCCCTCATCACACCTCTGGTCCGATCCAGCCAATCCCTTGCCCAGCCAGGCCTTTCGACCACGTTGGAATCAATCTTTATGGGCCTCTTCCAGTCTTGGCTTCCGGAAACTGTTGGATCGTTGGCGCTGTCGACAAAGAAACAGCCTCTTTGCCTGCTGCCACAGCACAAGACGTGTCATCGTTTCTCCCACGGAACTTCATTCTCCATCACGGTGCACCGCGTGAACTTCCCAGTGACAGAGGACGTGTATTTCTCGCTGACGTCGTCAACACACTCCTTGCCGAATGCCGTATCATTCACCGGACTACCACCGCCTACCATCTGCAAACGAATGGATTGACGAAAAGATTCAACTGTACACTAGAGGACATGGTATTTAAGTATTTTGCCTCCAACCACTCTGATAGGGACCTCATTCTGCCTATTGTGACGTACGCATGTAACACTGCTCTACAGGCAACTACGGGCTTTTCGCCATTTTTCTTGTTATATGGCCGAGACCCTTCCGCCACACTGGATACCATTCTACCGTACCACTCCGATTCCTCCGAGTCTACGCCTATCTCTGAAGCTGCCCGCCGTGCCGAGGAATGCCGTAAGCTCTCCCAGTCATTTACAACCATTGACCATTAGAGTAAAAAATCTCGACGAGATGATAACCAGCCGTACCCTAACTTTGTTCTGGACACTCTTGTGTGGCTTTGGGTTCCCACTGTCCCTACAGGCCTTTCCTCGAAGCTTGTTTCAAAATACCAGGGACCATACCACGTTGTCTCGCAGACTTCACCTGTTAACTACATCGTTGTACCCGTTACGCCAGCTACAGACCAGCGTTTTCAGGGTCGTGAAAGCGTTCACGTACAGCGGTTGAAACATTATTACGATCCACTCGTACTCTGTTCTCCATGAGTCGCCAGGATGGCTCCTTTTCCGATGGGGGACGAAATGTAGTAAAGAGGAAGGCCCACTACTGCAGCGACATCGACACGTGGGCGCGAGGCGCGAGCTAAGGCTGCCTGGTTGCTGCTGCGACACTGCCCGTATACCCTGACAACTCTTGCTGCTTCTGTACCGACGAAGCTACCGCTTTGAACCTTGCATTTACATTATAAGCAGAATATCTGCTTCCTTCCTTAGATAGTGACCGGCTAGAGTAACTGATAACCTTTTCGAGTCCGTCAGTTTGCTGCACAAGGGCGTCACCGAGTCCTACGCTGCTTGCGTCAGTGTGCACTTCTGTTTCGGTGTTTTCTTCGAAATGCACGAGTATAGAAGGCATCTGCAGGTGTTTTAGTTCCCCAAATGCTTCCTCCTGTACGGTTTTTCTCTTGAACTCCACGTCAGTCCTCGTAAGGCTAGTGAGTGGCTCGGCGATGCTGGCAAAGTTTCTGCCGAAGCGCCTGTAATAAGCACACAGGCCGAAAAATCCACGCATGGCCTTCTTCTCGGTGGGCGGTGGAAATGCAGCGATGTCGGCTGTCTTTTGCGGGTCAGGTGCTACTCCAGACTTGCCTATCACGTGGTCTAAAAACTAAAGTTCCTCGTACGCGAAGAGGCACTTTTTTGGCTTCAGGGTGAGTCCGGAAGTCTTCATGGCTTGAAGTACAGCTTCAAGGTGCCGAATATGCTCGTTGAAGCTTGAGGAAAACACGACGACTTCATCCAAGTAGACAAGTCTGCCACTTCAATCCTGCTAGCACTGTGTCCATAGCACCTTGAAAAGTCGCAGGTGCTGAGCAAAGACTGAAGGTCAGGACCTTGAACTCGAAAAGGTCGTCTGCGGTTATAAACGCAATCTTTTCTCTGTCTCTACCATCTACTTCGATCTGCATATAGCCTGTTTTGAGGTCCATCGATGAAAAGTATTTGGTGTTGTGGAGTCGAACAAGGATGTTGTGTAGTCGGAGGAGAGGGTATACGTCCTTCTTCGTTATCTTGTTGAGTCGGCGATAGTCAACACAGAAACGTAGTGTTCAATTCTTTTTCTTCATTAACACCACCGGTGACGCCCATGGACTCTTTGAAGGCTGGATAACGTAGTCGCAAAGCATTTCATCGACTTGTTTCTTTATGGCCTCGTGTTTTCGCGTCAAAACTCCCTACGTACTCTGACGGAGTCACCTGGCATTTTCTTCTATTACGATCCAATGTTTCGCGACAGGAGTCTGTCGAATTCTTGATGACGACGAAAAGCAGTTCTTGTATTTCAGGAGCAGGTTTTTGAGCTGCTCTTGTTTATGCGTCGGAAGGCTAGGATTAAGGTCGAATGCTGGTTCAAGGGTTTCAGTCGTTGGAGTAGATTCGGTGGAATCGGTGTGGGCAAAAGCCTTGCTGGCTTCCAGTATCTCTTCGATGTAGGTAACTGCCATGCCTTTGCTCACGTGCTTGTACTCGTTGCTGAAGTTCCTGAGCATCACTCTTGCGTTCCTCATCGCAGCTCGGCTATTCCCCTTGCGGCGAAAATTTCGCGGTTGATCAAGAGGTATTGGTAGCCTTCCCCGACGCCTTGCATGTCTGTAGATTCTTGAGTGCCGATGGAAATGCTGACACTGGAGCGAGGAGGAATAATGACTTGGTCTTCCAGTACGTTCAGGGTGTGTCTTCCTGACGACGTGTGTGGTGGCAGTGCTTTTTCTGTGGATAGTGTTGTGGACTTTGTTTTCAGGTCGATATCGGAGCTATTGAGGCTTAAAAAGTCCATACCAAGGATAATATCTCTCGAGCAATGCTGCAGTACGACGAAGCTTGCATAATAGACCTTATACGTAATGGTGACTCTGGCTGTGCAGGTTTTTGCTTGCGTAACTAGGTGGCCTCCCGCTGAACGGATTTCGGGGCCTTCCCAAGTTTTCCTAACTTTCTTTAACTTCGTGGCGAATGTCCCACTAATGACGGAATAGTCGGCTCCGGTGTCGATGAGAGCTGTGACGCTGTGGCCGTCGATGAGAATGCCAAGGTCGCTAGTTTGTCGCCTGGCGTTGCGGTCGGGTCGAGGCGTCCTATCACGAATACGACGGTTTGCACCACTGTTTTGACGTTGCGTAATCAGGTCTTTTTTTGGCCACGAAGTTTCGACGACAGCACTACGTTGAGGTTGCGGTGGGTTCTTGAGACGTCTTTGCGTCTTCGTCGGCGGCGGCGGCGGATCTGTGGTAGATCGTCGTACAGCAACCACACCACCATCGGTTGCTGCCCTCAGTTTTCCTAGCAAGGGCTTGGAGATCTGCCCCGACCAGGGCAAGCATTTCTTCGACATGGTGAGGCGTACCGGCCAGGTGATGGCAAACGATAAGGGCGCCGGGGTGCCCACTCTGCTCCTGCAATGTAGTCGACGATATCGTGTGGTCGTTCACTCTGATGTGGACACGTCGCGTTGACGTCGCAACCCCGTAGACCCATCTGTCCATACTGTCAACGGGGGTAGGTGTGGCTGGCCTCCCGGCAGTGATAGAAGATCTGGCGGTTGTTAGGGGTGCGCCAAACATTTGTTTTTCTTGGCGGGTAGCGCTGGCCTATGGGAGGCCGATAGGACGTCGATGATAGCGGTGGCGGTGGTGTCTGACGGCGGAAGTGTGGTGGGGTTGCGTCCGGACGTGGGCGGGGAGGAGCGTTGCGGCGCGCTGCAGTGGCGTAGCTCATAGCTTCCGGCTTGGGCCGCGAGGCTTGGGGAATTCGAAGCGATTGCCGAACTACTTCTCGCTCAATATCAGCAATCGAATCCACTTGAGGCTGCGTGGAAGGGTATAGCTTGCACAGCTCTTCCCGCACGATCGCTCAGATGATGTCGCGGTGGTCGTCGGAGTAGAGTGGTTGAACTTCTGCGTACTCTGGCGTCGAGCGGCGATTATATGGTCGGGTGCGCATCTCCAGCGTGTTTTCAATCATCGTTGCTTCAGAGATGAGTTCTTGGATGGTGCTTGGTTGGTTCCGCATCAGACCAGCGAACCACTTCGTTTACTCCTGTTTTACTCCTCGCATTAGGAAACAAACTTTCTTATGTTCAGGCATTTCGGGGTCAGCGTGGCAAATCAGCTTGGTCATCTCTTGGGCGAAGAGGGTGACGTTCTGTTTTGAAGCTGTGAACGGGTTTCGAGCAGCGCTTCGGCCCTCTCTTTTCGAACGACGCTCGTGAATGTAGCCAGGATCCTGATGCGGAATGTTTCTCAGGTTCGCATGGTTTGCTCCTGGTTCTCGAACCATGTACGAGCGGCGTCTTGTAAAGCGAAGTAAACAGGACGAAGCTTATCTTCGCCGGTCCAGATGTTGAAAGCAGCGACTCGATCGAATGCTTTGAGCCAGTTTTCCGGGTCGTCGATTGGCAATTGGTGGCTCCTCGAGCTGTCGGACAACGATTGGTGTAGGCTGTGTGGGATTTGTCATTGTTGCTACTGTCGTAGGCGTGATCCCGGGCTGCCTGGTGTTTTCGAGAAGGGGCCCGTACTCTGGCTGCAGTCTCCTCTGCCTGCGACTTGCTCGCTGTTCGGCGTTGGCGTCTTCTTTGCCGCTTGGGCTTGGTTCATGGCTTGACGGGGGCGTCTGGTTCATGAAAGAATCAGCACCTCCACCAGATATCACGTAGTCGTGACTTGGCATCGCTAGCGGCGACGTAGGTTACCGAATAATCTGTGACGTTGCCGGAGTGTGCGTAATCTTAACAAAACGATCTACTAAAGCCTCGAAGCTTCTCTAACATCGTAGGCACGGTTTGCACTGAGCGTACATATTGTAATGCGGTGGTAACAAAACTTGAGGAAAAGAACGTGGCATGTGGCAGTATCGACTAGGCTTTTTTTTTTTCAGAATAGATGTAGTATATTCGTGCAACGTGGTATTACATTGAGACTGAAATTTGGTGTTGTTTTTGTTTTGCAGGTCCACTTAGCTACTACGAGGTTTACATCACAGCATTCGAGCTCAATACGACTGCGTCTCCAAAGTTCAGTGACTTCAAATCAAACCCAAAGTTTCAGAACTTTGTGAAAAACCCAACTTTGGCGGAAAAAGTCTGGACAGATTTTAATGTGAAAATGTACACTGATATCTTGCCCATCATAGTCAACACCTTGAAGGCGACTTATCGCTCGGAAATACCGAAAAGAATGACGAAGGTTGGAGCCCTGAAGAAAAACATCTTTCGCGGCTAAAACATCTAAAAAAAAAACACATGTCTTAGTAGAACATGAGCCAAAATAAACCACACTTCTGTAAACAAAGCCCGATTCAGGACCCCTGAAAGGCTGTTTTCTTGTCAATACTCTTCGATTGAGCATTACTTTATATGAGAGTGCGGCCCTACATAAATGATGGCTGCATCGTATAAAGTGAATGCAGCGTCTGGAGTGAAATTTCGGCTGGTTCACGTGAAATGAATACTTAACTTAGGAATATTGCCTAATTCAAAAGGAGTTTGAAAGAAACAAGGTATTTAAATTACGAATGTCTGTTCCTAATTAAAACGAACAGAAAATGATACCAAGAAAAGTATAGGGTATGTTATTAGTAATTGTATTGTATATGTCGAAAAAAAGATACGAAAAATAAACTTGTATTGGTCAGCTGCCAGCTCGCAATGGGATCACGTGCTAGGTGACACCTGCAAGCAAAAACAATGCTCCACACTCACCGCAATGGGAACAGGTGGTGCTGACGCTCCCACGTTCAATGAACATATTTACGGTCCATAGAAGGTCGGCAAACGCACTTAACAGTCGACTCGCTCAGACTCCCTCAGACTCAGGTCACGACGTGAGTTCGAGTCTCAGTGAGTCTTCGTGAGTAATATTTTGGTGATTTTGGCACTGAGTAAGTCCGGTTGAAGAAAATGTTCGTGTCTTTGAGTCTGAGTTCGGCTCAGAAAGATTTTGGAACAAAATTATCTTTCGAGTGAAACGTCTTCTTGTGAGCCTGAGTCCACGTGCACCCTGAGCGCTAAATATATTTCATAAGTGAGTGTAAATGAGCTTCAGAAGTTTTGCTGACGTATGCTTATTATACCCTATAAAAGTAAACGAGAAAATGACTGCCACCGTAGATCAGTGGTAGAGCGTCGAACGTATTATTCGAAGGTCGCAGGTTTGGGTCGTGCCGGTGGCAAGTTAACTTTTCGCCCACTTTTTTTTCTTCACACTTACATAAAAATGACTACTAATAAAATGATTTCTATTGTTTGGCATCATTGTGTGTTAGTTCTCATTTGTGGTGTGTCAAACAAATATAACAAACTCTTAAGTTTACAGTTCTTTTCTTCAACGTTCTCATGGTTCTTGGTATATACGAACTGTAAAACAACTGTGGCGCATACCCACATACCACGTGGATGCACCGGTGTGTGCCACGTGTGTCTAGAAGAAAACAATGAACGTTGTACATTATTCATGTCATGGTCAGACAGTCATCAACATCAAAGTTTCTTACCATTGCATACTAAATTAGGCCTACCCCAAGTTAAGCAGGTGAATTTGTCGGAGAGTATGTAGGCGTAAGTGGCAAGATCGATGAATACGCCAGTGTAAACGCTCATAGTGCCCACCATACGCAAACAAATGCTCACTTTTAACAAACAGACAAGACTACAATGTTCATTTGGAATATCCACGAATAAAGTACTCGAAAATACACTGAAGCAAGCCAACGAGAACAACGTATGTCATTGTTATTGCAACCATCACACATTCATATAATAATTAAATATATTGTCAGGGTTTGATATCCCAAAACCACCATGCATATAATCATGAAAGGCGCTGTAGTGGAGCGCTCCGGGAATTTCGACCAACTGGAGTTCATTACCATGCATCTATTTCTAAGCACCCCCGTCTGAACATTTTCGCCTCCATCAAAAACGCGGGTACCGCGGCTGGGATTAGATTCCGTGACCTGCGAGTCAGCAGCCAAGTGTCTTAGCCACTTGAGCACTGTGGCGGGTCGCACTTTTATATCACGAGGCAACTTCGTGTCTCTTCCGAAAGTCGCAGCAGGAAACTTACAAGAGGCAAATATTCAACGACTATCGGGGGAAAAAGTTGCGAAGGGGCGGTTGAATGTTTTTTAAATGAGGGAGAATATAGCACAGTTGCCGTATCGATGCACTCGCCTTCACAGCAGTTGCAGCAGTCACGTAGTTTTAACAAGTGCGACACTTTATGCAACCAATTCATTTTGCATAAATCAGTCCTTTCGCAATATTGCGCAACCTTTTTGGAAGACTTTACCGATATCATTGCTGGCGTCCTAAGTCAAAACAAAAGAAAAATGCGGGACGTTTGCCCCAAGTCTCGAGGAGCTTCATAGAGCGAAGCACGGGCCCCTCACCACTCGCTAGGCGACCTAATTCTTTATTTCTGTATGGTTCTTCATAACAGCTTAGCTAGCTTTGTTGTTTATTTTTGATTTTCTCTTTTTCTGCTGTCTGTTTTTTTCAGGTTTTGTGTGTTTCTTCTTTTTCTTCTCTTGGTCTCTTTCTTCTTATATTTTGTTCTCTCCCTCTCTCTCTATTTCTTTCTGTCTCTCCTTTTCTAACCCTTTTTGTCTTTCTCTAGGTTTCCGTCTTTCTCTTTCTCTTTTTCTCATTTTTATATGATATGCTTCATCTCTCGCCTCCTTCTTCCTTTCAGATCTCTGAGCGTCGTTCTGACTTTTTTTCTACCATCTTTTTGCGACAATACACTATGCCACCGATGTCTGTCACCGTGGCTGGATAGCTGAGGGGTTGAGACGCTAACCTTTTCATCATGTATAGACAAGTTGTAATACCGCCTCTTCATCGTTAATTTTTTTTCGCCATACTTTCATCACGTAGCTAGCGTTCTCTATTTGCCCTTCTCCTACCTCTGACAAATCTTCTTCGCCTTGTGCTTCCCCCTGGCGGTCCGATGGACTAACCGACGCACATGTTCCGGAAACGAAGCAGAAGACGAAGAAGAGGACGCTGAGGGTGCATGCGAGTTCATGATAATTGTTATCGGATCATGATGTTTTTCAAGAAGCAAGAACAGCGTCACTGCTAAAAAATGCCGTGTAAAGTTGTCGAAAGATGAGTCTCCTGCCGGCCAAGCGGCCATTTATGCTTTGCCTTGCCTCAGACAATCACCTTGTCTATTTTTCTATGTTGAATCGGCCGCATCTGGCTGGCGTTGATGAAAGGCAGCGTCTCTTGTGCCGCATGGTGGACGAGACGATCCTACACAAAACTGGCTTCTCTAACGCGTGGAAGTGACGTCATGTTCATAAAATAACCAAAAGACATCGCAAAGAGACGAATTTTTACTTTAGATTGTACTAAACCTACAAAAAAACGCCAGGCCTGCGGTGAAGGCACAGCACGGTTACCGCAAAAGCTTAAGAGCAACCTTTCAGAATCTTTTCAGAACACTAATTTGGAACTGCTGCAAGCCCTATTGCTGGGTACCCACTACAGCCATAATAATAATAATTTCTGGGTAGTGCTGTTAAAAACAGTGACATAGGCTGTAGGAGAGGAAGAGAAAGACGAGAGATGTGCGTGGCACGTGAGGTGGCTCCGGCATTTGCACCGCAATAAATGGACGTCGAGATACTCTGCTCTTCATTTCCGGGCGTATTTGTCCTTTGAAACCGGTTTTCTACGAAAGAAGTCTTCGGATTTTACAATGGTGCTGTAACCCGACCCGGTTTAAAGGGGGACCATGGAACGCCTGCGAAACACGAGAGAAGCTAGACGGCGACACAGCACCAAGATCATCAATGCCGTTGATGAGCTTCTAGCCTCCGATAAAATTGACTTGTCGGGGCTTCGCAGCATTCTTCAGCGCCTGGATAAGAGCACCGATGAGCTCGCCGAGGCTAACGAAGCACTGCACGCTTACATGACAGATGACGAGGTGCTGGCGAACATGGACTCCGTGCTAGTGTACGAGGACCGGACTGCAGGGAGCGCTGGCCTTCTTAAACATCTCATCCAGGAGCTGGCTGTCCGAACATCAGGGCCAGTCAGGTACAACGGCGAGTTGCCAACCGGCTCTTCTCTGCCGCGTCACGCAGCCCCATCAGATATTTCCGCCGGCACAGGAGCAGGGCTTCTCAAGCTAGACCTAATGAGATTCGATGGGTCCCCCACATAATGGCTACCAGTTTGCGACCTGTTTCGACACACCGTACACTAGAACCCGCGTCTCAATAACTTCGATCGGTTTCACTACCTCCGATCTCTTCTCGGCGGCCCTACAGCAAAGGTTATTGTAAGCATACTCACAACCGACAACCGTTATGAGGACGCTGTTTCTATGCTTAAGAAGCGGTTTGGAGACGTGCGCATGATTGAGCAGAGGCATCTCGAAAATCTTCACACTCTACGTTCCGTAATTACCTCGGCAAATGCTACTGCACTAAGAAGCCTTTCCGACTTCGTTGAAGTCAACATAAGAGGGCTCAAAGACCTCGGCGTCTCGGAATCCTGCTATTCTGCTATGTTGTGCGAGGTACTAATGAAAGCGATTCCACAAGACATAATAATTGATGGTGGAATATCACCGACGACGGTGACTTGAAGCGTCAAGTGCGAACGACCCGTCGAGCTCGGAAGAAGAACTTCGACAATTGCTCAAGTACCTCCGCATCGAGGTCGAGTGCCGGGAGCAGACCACGTACCAACGACTGATGTCGCACAGCAATGAACTGCAGACCTCCGGTTGCCGCAAGAATCAGCCTATGGCATCAGCGGCAGTTCTCAACAGTGCTGTTACAAAGGAGGCGTGCTTTTTTGCCAGAAATCATACCCAACGTTCGACTGCGATGCATCGTTTCCTGACTCGGAGAAAACGCGTCTTTTGTCGACGACTGACTGCTGCTTTAGATGTACCACAAAAGGACATCGAGCAAGAGACTGTCGACAAAAAGTGAGCTGCTCACATTGTCATGGAAGATCCGCTTCTTCGGTGTGCTCTAGACAGGCTAGTACAGCTGTTGGAATAATGCCGCCACCACAACACGCTACGAGCAGTACCTCCATGTACGCTGTATGAGACAGCATTAGGAGCCTTGATGCAATACTATTGCAAACCTTCAGGGGAATGATTAAAGGCGCAAAGGGCAGCTGCTATATAAGAGGCATCATGGATAATGGTAGCCAGCACACTTTCATTGATAAAGGAAATCGAACCTGCAGCTGTTAGGAAATATTGACCTTACCGTCAACGTGTTTGGAAACAAACAAGGTTGCTGTGCACGTCGGAGACTAGTCAAAGTAACTCTACAAAGTCAATACGATAATATTGAGCATGTCATGGAAACAATAGAAATCGAGCACATCTGTGAAGTGGTTGCTGAAGTACCCGAATACCACGAATTCATCAAAGAGTTGCGAAATCGTCGTCAACAATTAGCTGATGCACTTTGCTTTTCACGTATCACCCAGGAAGACGGCATTAGCTTATTAATCGGCTCAGACCGATTGGGAAAGATTCTTGGGAGCAAAGTCACTTGGCATAAAGATTCCAAAAGTCTTCCTTCCATTCAGACTGCACTGGGCTGGACTGTACAAGGACCCATAAATGATGCAACTATTCTTCCACTCACAAACGCAAACGTTTGTGTATTACGGAGAAGTTTTCGCATGAGCGGTGCCCTGATGCAAAAACGCATAGGCTCAGAACTACGAAATTTCAGGCAGCTCGAAAGCTTCGTAATCACATGTGTGGATGAACCATCCTCCCACGATAAGCACGTGCTAAAATCTTTCAACGAAACTATTGAGCTGCGAGACGAAAGGTACGAAGTCTGTCGGCCTTGAAGAGACAGGCAATTGGACCTGCACAATTATCGTGCGGTAGCAATCAAGCGACTTTGCTGCTTACTTGACCAGTTGTCTCAGAGCAAAGAAGTGCTGCTTCACTACGATGCAGCAGTCAGGCAGTACCCTACTGATGGTCATGCTGACCCAGTTCCTGTCATCGAGGATGCGACCACCACTAAATATTACATGCCCCTTCGGGAAGTAATTAGAGAAACATCCCCCACAACGAAACTGCGAATTGTCTTCGATGCCTCGTCCCATGCCTCATGCGTGATTTCATTGATTGACCACTTGAAAAGAGGCACGAACATGAACAACGACATGTTGAAGATGTTGCTCCGTTTTCGTCAGCATCAGTTCGGCGTCGCGGCTGATGTCGAGAAAGCATTTCTGCACATTTG